CTACGGCACTCAGCTTTCTTTATGGTCCAACTCTCACATCCACACATGACTACTGCAAAAACCACAGCTTTGACTATATGGACCTTTGACTGTACCTCTAGACCTTCTTTTAAAGCTGCTCACCTTATACACTAGGCTCACACACTCAAGGGAGAAGATTTTATAGGGTGTACAGACCAGGGGGCAGGAATCCTGGGGACTGTCTCAGAAATTTGCCTACCACATGAAACCAAAGCAAAGATCTTCCTACAGATAAAGCTTTATCCAGAAACAATATAATACTTGGAATACAGAAAAATTGATAAAACTACATATCCCTCAAATGGCATTTTTTCATCATCCTCAAATAGTAATTTTTGCATCATATATCTTGACAAAATTGAACAAACACTTTGAGATTATAATCTCAGATAACTGTCTGGAGCCTACTTTGCTCATTAAACCCCAATTTGGTGGAGTCCTTCTGGTGGCTTAAATGGTATATCCCAAAGAGAAGCGAGTCTACCAACTGCCTTCAACATTTGATTTTACAAAGGACAACGTTCAACCATGGATCAATGCAGCAACTCAGGATAGGGTAAGTAGAATAAGAAAAAGGGAGATGTCCACCAAGAAAAAGCATAAAGTACTATATAATTGCTAGAAGCACCTAGATCAGCTATCAAAATTGATACTTTCAAATCTGTTTCCTTGTATGATTCTAAAGAAGACCACTTAAATTTTTCTTTAAAGGACAAGAACATATTTTTAAGGCCAAAACTACAGTTGTTGAACTAAAAATGATGATTAGCGGCACAGACAACGCTAAAAACTGGATCAGTAAATTATAAGGCAAACATACGGGGGAGAAATGTTAAAGAGATGAAACTGTGAAGAAAAAAGGGAAAAAACATGGAGATATGTATTTTTCTAGGCTATATAATAGTAGGTTGTAGCAGAGTAGCTAGCTATTCACCAAAACTATTTCCTCTTTCTCTCGGTCACACAGATAAACTGTATTTCCAATCCTCACATGCAGTGTGTGAGCTTCAGCCAATGTAATGTAGGCAGTAGTCATATGTATCATTTACAAGTTGGTCAATGAAAAAAAAAAAAAAAAAAGACCCTAATGCTGTTACTGCTTTCCCTACTGCTATAACACTGAAAGTCACATGTTGAAGTGAGAGAGCCACAAGTCCTAGATCCCTTCATAGTCACTTGAAGAAGAGCTACCCCACCAGGAATACCTATTTAAGACTTCACCTAAGCAAAAAAATAGAATTTCTAGGGTGAGATTTTAGAGCTTAACTATTGTAAGAGGTAGCATTACTTAAAGAAACAAGCACTAGAGTTGGAAGAATGGTGTTGATAACAAAAAATAACAAAAAAGCCTAAAATAAATGGCATCAGTTTAGAGGTCAGGCAGTAGGCAGTAAGAATATATATTTAGCAAGCCAAAAGCCTGACGAGCCTATGATATTCTGGCAAAAAAAAACCAAAAACTGGTAAGATGGGAACCAGTAATAAATGAAAAAGCATACCACATGGCTACTGGGCCTGTAGCTTTATAAGTAAATGTAGAGAGTTATGGTGTATATTGGCATTTACTTTCTGCTTTTAGCAAGGTTTCACACAAAAGAGATGAGCACAGAATTTCCCAATTTGCAAACTAAAATTTGGGCCATATTTCTGAGCCCAGAAACTTGGGCCTCAGAGGGTCAGAAAGCTGAACACATACAGATCCCAAACAGTAAAAGAAAAAGATGGTAAAAATTTGAGCAATTAAGTCCAAAGAAAACCTTGTTGAACTTAATTCTGAGGCAATAATTAGATTCAGGTATGATTTTCTTACTCATTATTTCATATGGCCTCCAAGTAGGGCCATTAAAATAAGAAAAAAGACATGAGGCAAGAGTTATTCTCCCCCAGTTCCACTACCTCTCCAAACAGGGAAGAAGAAAAAAGTCATTCCCAAAAATTATATTTAGAAAAAAACACTGGATACAGTATCTAAGCAGAACCTACTGAAAACAAACAGATCGGAGGTCGACTAAGTTTTGAGGTAACTATAACGCCAAAACCCACAAATCTGGACTAAATAAATCTTTGTTCAGAACATTAAAACAAACGTTGGGCTCCTAAACTTGTAGAAGCAGAAAGCGGGCACTGAGAGATACACAGAGATATAAATGTGGTTGTAGATATACATCTAGCTATATATGTATATCTACAGAGAGAAAAAGAAGTATTCAAATCAATGACAATTCCCCAGCACACACTTCAGAAATGTACACAGGAAAAATAAAATAGGCAAAGAAAAACTACGATGCAGCAAAGGAGTTCTTTCCAGAGAGTCAACATCTAAGCAAGGAAGTTCCCCTATTACTAATTCAGAAAGATTTCCCAATGATGACCCAAAAAGATGAGATGATTTGATATGAAACAGGGAATACTGTACATGTCCTGTTCTTCCGATTTCTAAATGGAAGTTTTTCATTGTAGCTATTCTGTTCGAGCTTCTCCATGGTCATCAGCTCACTGAAGAGCCACATCTGGGTCTGATGGAGAGTACTGAACATCCCTGGAAAATACCATTCTTTGAGATGGATGTAGTAACTAGATGGGATATTAGGTTGTATTCCTTAGGGAAGGGACAGACATGTTGTATGGATGAAAGGAAGAGTGAAGACATATTTGATGAGCAAAAGAGCAGACTGTGCCAGAGACTAGCTGCTATTCACCAAAACTGTGTTCTTCTCTTAGAGTGAAATTATATTCCCAGTCTCCCTTGCAGGTTGGTATGGCCATGTTTTTAAGTTCTGGCCAATGAAATCAGTGTAGTAGTGATGATGTGTCACCTCCATGCCTAGCCCAAAAAAACCCTACCACAGGGACTTCCCTGGTAGTCTAGTGGTTAACATTCTGTACTTCCAGTGCAATGGATTAGGGTTTGATCCCTGGTCAGGGAACTAAGATCCCACATGCCACAGGGAACAGCCAAAGAAACAAACAAAAAATAAATTAAAAAATGTGTGCTAAGAACAAAATAAACAAGCTTATTAAAAAAAAAAACAAAAAACAAAAAAAACCCCTACCACATCCAATACTCTTTGGTCTTTCCCCTTCTGCAGCAATCTTCAAAACCATATTAAAAATGACAGAGCCATATAATGGAGACATTTCTTAAATATGCATTGCAAAGAAAACCATCACAAATAAGAAACATCATTTTGGACTTGACATAAGAAAGAAATAAACCATAACGTCTCCCTTTAATCCAACATCCATGAAATTAAACAAATATTTATTGAACACCTACATGTACAAAGTATGTGGGTATGTGGTAGTTTCTCTCCCTCCCACTTTCCTTACTTTTTAGGGACTACAGAAGATTTTCAAATGTGTAAGATATCTTTACTCAAGGATATTATAGCATAAGATAGTAATACATGCAATAAGAGCTATACTTGAGATGAAAAATATTATAGGAGGAATAAAGGGTCCTCAATTAATTAAAAAGTTCTGAACTCACAAAAGATTTCATCACCATTTCTTTAAATGACAAAAATACAGCCAACAGCTAACAGTTTACACAGACTGAATGACACAGCAGATAAATTCACCTCAATCTAATCTGAATTCTATACTACAGTAACTGACCTTTATAAACTGAACTTGAGCAAATCACTTCCCTGCCCTAGACCATAATTTCTTCAGATAATTAGGGGGAGAGACAGATAATCTCATTAAATGAAATAATAATACTCTTCACGGAATCTCTTTTACTTCAAAACCAAAGGAATTTCTCAAGCAAAGGCCTAGAGAAAGCAACTCTACTCTTCAATATTTTGAAAGGTTAATAAAAAATTTTCAACCACAATTAAGACTTGTCTTACAAGATATTTTCATTCCTGTACTCAAAATATACACAGCAAAGCAAAAGCATATTTCCAATGATTAATTTTTTCTACATCATTAAAAAAAAAAGACATGATATGATTATTTCCATCAAAGTTTATCATCAACTAATTTTAAACTTTCCACTTTGCAAAGTACAATAATAAAACAATTTTAAAGGAGAAAGGGGAAAAGAATATCTGTATTCTCTTAGGAAAGGGATCTCCAACAGGCAGATCTCTTTTACAGAATCAAATACCTAAAAGAATAGCTCAGACTGAAAATCTGACCCAAAATATGACCTACTCCCACCTTCCTCACAGAATGATATGAACTACAAATGACTTACTCAAGAACATAGTTGTTTACAGAACCAAACAAGACTTCCCATAAAAAAAACGAATGTACTACTTATTATTGTAGGTTATACCAAGGTATCCTGAGAAATTTTAATAAAATCAGCATGACTTAAGTTTCAAAAGAGCAAATAATACTGCAAATTACTACTGTTCTTTATTCATAACAACAAAGTACTTCTGGATGTTCTGTGTGACTTTCATAAATTAGAGACGAAGATACTGAAAGAAAAAAATCTAAATATTTTGTTATTTTTTAATAAGCTATAAGCGAATTCCTTTCTATGATCATAAATCACAGCATTTCCCAACAGGCCTTTTTTCATCAATACCCACTGATATCCGAAATAACAATTACAGAAATACTCATATATAACATTTTGCTTGCACAGTAAATAATCAACCAGAAATATGCAGCACAATTTAGCTCATTAACTAGACGTAGTACTTTTTAAAACCCTGGGCTTTGAATCATACCCAAAGTCAAGAGAAGTATTCAAAAAATAGAAAAGTCTCTTCAAAACAACAGTATAAACCATAATAGCCAATTAATATTTACTGAGCATTCACAGAGCAAAACAATATACTAGGTAAACAATTCCCTGCTCTGTTAAGAAAATAAAAAATATTTTAAAACCACGTGTTCCCATAAAGATGAAGGACTTCCCTAAAATGACAAGAAACAATTAAGACACTTAGCAAAATGAAATCTGTGTAACAGAATACTCGCAAAGTCATTGGCCAACCTATCACAAACCCCAGACCTACTTGCTTCATGGCAGTCTCTCCAATTTTGTCTGAATGTTTGCGGATACTCTCCAGAAAGTCTTTGAGATCGGACATAGACACATCCTTAATTTCTTCTCGAAGCTTAGGGATATTGTCCACCATCACCTTGCAGAATCGATAGTGGCTTACTTGAGGAAGATAGGTATGCTCTAGATGTTCCAGAGTTTTCAGTGCAGGATAATGCCTATAAAAGGAATTGCATCACCTTTAGCTCAATTCAGTCTTCTTTAGGGCCACAGATATATTCCTCAGGGAAAATTTCTAGCCTGAATTAGTTTTCACTTACATTAAGACAAATGCAGGACTGTTTCAATAAAAACATCAATGGAAAAATAAATATCAAATTATTAAAAACTAACATATGTATTATAGGACTTAATAAATTATAATCAAAAAAGATTTTATCCCAAGAATACAGAAAGCATAGAAATCCACCAATGAAATTCATTACATAAGGAATAAAGGCCACAGGAGATTTAAAAAAGAGAGTGAAAGTAAAGAGAAATACAAAATGATTCTATCAGTGCCATAAAAATCATCCTATAAAATAAAGTACCCAAGGACAGATAACTGTGGCACACAGAAGAACTTAGCAAATCTTTTACTCAAAAAACAAATATAAACTGGACAAAACTTTGCAAACAGCCATTTCAGGACTCTGGAAATTAGAAAGGACTCAGAAAAAAAGAAAGGAGAACAACAGCTTGAGAAGGGTTTATTCATGAAAACTGATAAACAGAGAGGGACTTCATGGTGTTCCTGCCTGGGGCTACCTCCATCATCCTCTGCAGCTTCCCTCACATCACTGGTTATAACTTGTCAGGAAAATGAGCAACTTCTCTGCCATTAGGGGTTGACATGATTTGGAGCAGAGGATGAAAACCCTATACTGACTAGTGCTGTTAGGAAAAGTAGCAAACTCAGTTACAAAAAGGAGGTGGGAACTTCCAAATCTACTGGCCTGATGTTCATCTTGGTTGGGACAAAGTGCAGACTAGAGGACTAATCAAAAACTTAACAAGGAAGTCATAAATAAGAGACCCACAGAATAACCAGATCAGTTCAGTTTATTTCAATTCAGTTCAGTCACTTAGTCGTGTCTGACTCTTTGCGACCCCATGAACTGCAGCACACTAGGCCTCCCTGTCCATCCCAACTCCCAGAGTTTACCCAAACTCATGTCCATTGCGGAGAAGGCAATGGCACCCCATTCCAGTACTCTTGCCTGGAAAATCCCATGGATGGAGGAGCCTGGTAGGCTGCAGTCCATGGGGTCGTGAAGAGTGGGACATGACTGAGCGATTTCACTTTCACTTTTCACTTTCATGCATTGGAGAAGGAAATGGCAACCCACTCCAGTGTTCTTGCCTAGAGAATCTCAGGGACGGGGGAGCCTGGTGGGCTGCCATCTATGGGGTCACACAGAGTCAGGCACAACTAAAGTGACTTAGCAGCAGCAGCAGCAGCAGAAAGTAGGTCCAAAAGCAAAGGACAAAAGTGCCATTTCTTTAGATACTTAAAAATCCTGGAGCATATAAACCAAGTAAAAAGCACATATGTTTCCACTTTATATATAAGAATATTTAAATTTAGAGAAAGAGGGAATTGGCAGTATTTTACTATATTAATATTTAATAGTACTTTACCTGAGAATATGTTTTAAATCTAGCTAGCTACATTCAGAGTTTTCTTGAAAGATGTAAATAAGAGTGACTCAAGTATTTCATTCAGTTTTGCTCTTTTTCCATCTCTGGCTCTTAAAGTATTTAAGAGGACAGTAGAATGAATGCATTTAAATGAGAGCTTCATTTAGTTTTTTTACTTAGGGAAGTTTCTATAAGGAAGATGTTTAAAAATGCATGCTATTTATTCTCTTGGTAAAAGTGCATAAACATATATGTACTTTTAAACAAATAATCATTAAGTGAACAATGTAACTACTACCAAGGTCAAAAAGCAGAATGTGCCTCACATGCCCCTCCCTGGCCAATTCTGTGGTCTGTTTGTCCTAAGGTAACAAAGGCACAATTAAGTTCCTAAATACTGTTCCTGAAGAGGTTTATTTTCAGTGATTACTTTGTTTCGGAGTATTAGAAGAATATTGACAAGAGGAATTCAATTTTATTCTTTCAAGGGAAGAGAGATTAGATTGAGAACTCGGTCATGATTTTTTTAAGAATATATTAATGACTACAAAGGAAAACAAGCATTTAGAAAGTATGTTATTTCTGAGGAAGAAAAAATACTGTNAGTAAAGCTCAAAATTCTCCAAGCCAGGCTTCAGCAATACGAATAGCCTGATAGCTCTCTGCATATCCCTAGCTGACTCAGAGGCTGTGCACAAACACAGGTAACACCTAAAAGGGTCTAAACACCACACACAGCCCTGGCTGACTAGTAGGCTTCAGGCTTAAACATAGGAGAAGGATATAAAAGCTCAGCAAAGTTGAAAACTGCCTGAATTATTAATGTAGTCCCTAATCCACAAACAAATCCACTGACAAAAGGGTAGATATTTTTATCGGCTCAAGTTTCTTACAGCACCCAGGACCAATCATTAACTGATGACTAACCTTTAAAAATGAAAAGGAAATATATTCCCAGAAAAACAAAGACTGAGAGAATTCCTTGTTAACAGATCTTCCTTATAAGAAATACTAACGAAAGTCAGAAAGGAAATGACAGCAAGTAGTAACATGAATTCACAGGAAAAAAAAAAGAAAGAACAAAGGAAACAATAAATATCTGCTGAATATAAAAAACTGAACATAGTTTTTTCTCTTTTCTTCTTTTAATATAGTAAAAGACATTTATAAAACAATGATTATAATATTGCCTTGTTGGCTTTATAAAATATATAGATAAAATATAAATAATAATAATAGCACTAAAGAAGGAGGAAGAAAGGGAGCTAAGTTGAAGCAAAACTACTTCTATATACTACATTAAAACTACATCAAAAAAAAAAACTACAGCAGCAATGACCTAAAATAGACTATGACAGTCTATGACAAATGAAAAAGCAGATTATAATCCATAGATAGAGTAACCTCTAAAAAACAAGCAACTCAAAAAATACATTGTTAAAAAATTTACGGTGCTTCCCGAGTGGTCTAGCGGTTCGACTCTGCCTGCAAGTGCAGAGGACACAGGTTCTATCCTTGGTCCGGGAAGATTCCACATGCATTGGAGCAACTAAGCTTGTGTGCCACAACTACTAAGCCTGTACACCGTAAGGGAAGCTACTGCAGTGAGAAGCCCCCGCACCACAGTGAAGAGTAGCCCCCACTCGCCGCATCTGCGCTCAGCAAAGGCTGTGCACAGCAACGAAGACCCATCACAGTCTAAATAAATAAACAATAAATAAATTTTTCACAAAAACTTATGGAAGAATTAAAATAATATACTACCAAATATTTAATACAACAAAGGAGTAAAAGATATATAAGAACAAAAAAGACATGAAAATAGAGAGTAAAACCCAACCATATTAATAATTATACTAAATGCAAATGGACTAATAAGCTCACTAATCAAAAGGCAGACACTGTCAGACAGTATTTAAAAAGCATGATCCAACTATATGCTGCCTACAAGAAACCCACTTTAGAGTCACAGATACAAACAAGTTAAAGTAAAAGCTACAATAATTTATACCCAAAATGTAACCATAAAAGTGCTCAAATGGCTATATTAATATACAAAAAATATTGCTGGAAACACAGAAGGAGATTTTATAATAATTATAGGGACAAACTGTACCTGTTAGGTAGGAAAGCTTCCATTAGAATAAGAGAACAAACAAAACTAAGATTGATACAGTTGACTAAGGAAAAACAAAATAAGTATATATAAAAAGAGCATAAGAATAAAGAAGAAACAACCTCGTACAGATTATTTGCAACATACAAATTTGAGGGTTTTTTTTTAAAGCAATGAGCAAAGGAAAAGTCAAAAGAACACCCCAAAAGGCAAACATGAAAAAAGAAGCTGGACTGATATGAAGACATCAAAGTCAAAAATATGATTGTCATTCATACTGCCAAATATTTCTTAAAAGGTAATGGATATTATTATCAGAAGTTTCAATAAATGATAATTCACAGCCTGCTGGTAAACAAATTTATATTACTGATACAAGTTTTCAATGAAAAATATTACCAAACACATATTCTAAACAGTTGTATTCCCCCCCCAAAAATTAGATGCACAAAAATATGTTTAAGTCTCTACAATTATAGTTATTTATATTAGCAAATAAAATACTAAACTAGAATTCTATTAACAAGGAATTGGTTAAACAGATTATGATATATCCATGTAATATATATGTACATCCAAAGAAAAATAAAATAGCAAAATGTTCACAATATTGTTGAATGAAAGTTAATTCAAAAAATAGAACAAGTATAATCATGTTTTTCAAAATTACAAATACATATATATGTGCAAATTATCAATACATATCTATGTATAGCTACATATACTAAATATAAGCCCACACACAAACAAGTACATAGAAAATGACTAGGAAAATACATACAAAAATGTTAACTGTGATTTTTTTCTTTCCTTCAGATAGAAACATTAAAGGTAATAAATTTCTTCTTCATGCTTTTAATTTCCACATTTCCCATAATATACTTAGTATAGGAAAAACCCTTGGACCGCTAAGAGATCAAACCAGTCTATCCTAAAGGAAATCAGTCCTGAATATTCATTGGAATGACTGATGCTGAAGCTGAAGCTCCAATACTTTGGCAACCTGATGCGAAGAACTGACTCATTAGAAAAGACCCTGATGCTGGGAAAGACTGAAGACAGGAGAAGAAGGGGATGACAGAGGATGAGACAGCTGGATGGCATCACCGACTCGATGGACATAGTTTGAGCAAGCTCCAGGAGTTGGTAATGGACAGGGAAGGCTGGCGTGCTGCAGTCCATGGGGTTGCAAAGAGTTGGACATGACTGAGCAACTGAACTGAAGTGAGGAAAAACTCAGTTCTGATCCTTTAAGTGAAAGACTTCTGGTTCTACTTTAGGTTTTAAGAATGAATTTCATGTTAGATACTTAAACTCTTCTTACTCCAATGCATTTAATACCACAAACACTAAAGTCTAGAGGTTGGATTTACTTGTTTTCTTTGTTTATGTTTTCCCCTCCTGTACTCCAAAAATTAAAAT